AGAATATAAAAAGAAAGTATATTAAATAAAATTAAAGATGTTTTAAAAAAAAAATAGACAAAAAAAAAATTTTTTTTAAATATTTTATTTCGTTTAATTTGATTTGTTGACCTGAATTTTATCAGGTCGGGTCATAAGCTTGACCCGAACTGATGTTGACCTGAAAATTTGTCTACCTGACCTGGATTTTCAGGTTGGGTCAGGTCAGGTCACAGGTTGACCTGACCTGATTCAGAGCTGAAACATAGCCACATACTTTTCTTGCTACAGGAATATCACATAAAAACAAAAACAATGCTATACACATATTCTTTCTATTCTGACATTTGTAAGTATCATCAAGAATTATACTATCTCAAGAAAGCTTTAACTTATCAACAAGTGGGCCAAATAATAATTTATTTTATGTAAATTAACTTTATTTGCCCTGGTAACATGCTAATAATTAACATATTTTCACATTTAAAATGTATATTTCGTGGCAGATTACATAAAGTGGCATATAATATGTCAGTGCTATAAAACTAAACTTTTGTAGAGCTGAAATCAATCTAGATTCAGCATTAATTCAATATGTGAATCAGCAACTTTTAATTGAAAGAAGTTAGGTGAATTATGGCTAAAGGGTTTTTTAGTGTTTTTCAAACTTGACCATCATAAATATTGGTCAATATATTATGAAACTGTTGATGATTTGCCTAATGATGTAGTGAAGCTTCAAATCCAGGCCGACAGTACATTAATTTCAATTGTTGCTGAATTCCTAAAAAAGGATAGATTAAAATAGGTATATTTGAAATCTATTCATTTAATAATTTCATTTGTTTAGATAAAGACACTTGATACAATAATGTTTTATAGGTTATGGAATTTGGATATTTTATATGACAGCACTTCATTATAGCAAGAATTCTATCTTTATAGTAATCCTTTACTTTTTGCCTTTTATATAATTTATAGCATTTTAAACATGATACAAGGCTATGAAATTTGTCTTTAGACCTGAGGGCTCTTCTTATAAGATATATAGAATCAGGAAATATATTAAATTTAACACCTTCAACATCATTTAATACCAGTTTCATGAATTTGATTAATGCTTCTATAGCTGTTTCTGAAAAGTTAAATCTTATTCAGAAACTCATTATTCACAACAGAATCCATAAATATTGTGGATTATCAGTTGTTTCTAATGATATTATATTTTCATCTTGAAGTTATTCTAAATTAGAATACAAATAATCTTTGAATATTTCAGAAACTTCATCATATGTTGATTTAATATCTTCAGCATCATTTAAAGAAATTCTTCACTTTCAGTTCGATTATCTTCAAAGGTAAACTCTATTTCTTCAGATAATGAATTCTCTTTTTGAAAGAAGTTTCAACAGCCAAATTCTGATGATTTGTATATTCTTTTGCACATTTTCTAGGTTTTACATAAGTAATTACTTCTATTCCATGAAGCTTCAAGGTGTTTTCTTGATTTATCTGTTCCATATTTTGCTGAATTAGTAAATCAGATGTTTCTGGTTCATTATTATAATGATTACTGATTTCAGTGTTATCTTCATGGGTAAATAGTCTTGATTTACTAGATGAACTTTTAAATGCTTTGTTTGTTTTATTTGATATGAAATGTAATTCCTTTGTACAGGAATCCACAAAATTACTGTGATATTTGTCATAATAATAATGTTCTTTTTTTTACCTTTACGTAAAGATCTATCAGAAGAATTAGCTGCTGATATTTCATTATTTATAATTTTATCGACCTTTCTTCTGAATATTGTTTTTTTAAATTGTATAAGAAACAATTAGAAAGTAATAAAAATTCTGGTAAAAGTTTTAATTAATCTAAATGAAATTGTATATCAAAGCTATTTTATGGGCTGTATTATACAAACTTCACCGCATTTTTCTAATTCTGAATTTAATTAATAGAAATCATATGAATAATAATATCACAATGCTAATCAATTTAATAGTAAGACATAAAACTCATCATTTTTCCACAAACTTTAAAAGAAACTTTTTTATTATTCATTAATCTTCTCTTTCGGTTAACTTATAATTTTATAATTTCATTACAAAATGATTTTCTAATAATCTCCCTTATTTCATTTTCTTTATGAACCAAAATAAAAAAGTTCAGGTTACTCATCAGCCTATTCAAATTTGTGATGATAGTTAAAATAGATCCTCTTCTTTGCAAAACACACGCCCAAATATTACTTCGACTAGTAAAATAATACTTATTATTCTGCAACACTATCAGAGCAACAAATTCGTCCAACTATATCATCAAAGCAACATATTCGTAAACTCACTTCTTTACAAATAAAACCAGGTACTTTTAAACAAATCAGTCAAAATAACTATCAACAGATTACTCTATCATCTTCAAGAAGTAATGCCAACAATTTCTCTTTAGATTATGATTTTTAGCAAACAATCTCAGAACAGTCAGAAAGTCACTCTCTAAGAAGTCAAGACAATAATATAAATTTTAAAAGTATTATAACATTAAAAAAGCCAGTTGCCTAACATTCGTTTATCTAAAAGCTTTGTTACTAACACTCAAAAGAAATAACCAACAGGAAGAAAATATTTATCAGAATAAGGATACCCATCAAGATGAAGATACTTGTCAGGAAGTTATAGCAAACAAATAGAATTGAGACAAAGATATACCTGTTAATATTACTAACTAGTTTAATTATGCATTATTTATTATTGTAATAATTTTATTATTATTTATCTTATATTTTAATATTTTAGGGATTAACAAATTAAAATGAAAGGTTTTCGAGCTATAAAAACAAAAATATAATTTGAAACTTTGAAATAAAGAGATTCTTAATCAAGTAAAGACTATAAAAAACTATGTAGAAAGTATGGAAAAAGAAATTGAACGTTTACAAAATAAGAATCAAATATTAACACATATAAATGAGGCATTTAGACAAGAGACAGATCAGTTATATATTTGAACTTAATTTATATCACAAAATTCAGTTACCAAAAGCATTATACAGTCAAATAATAATGATTTAGCAGAATTTGCTGATGACAAGTCTGATAACATTACTATTCGCCTAGCAAAATAACATAAAGGAAAAACAATAGCTCATTCTATTAGTAAAGAAGAAACAGAAGAAGTGAGGGTTTGTATTTTCAATCAATTTGATTTCATTATCTATGTGCAATATTAATATTAATAGTAATGATTATTTCTTACAACTAGACCGAAATGAAGACTATACTTAAAATATTACCACTTGAATACAATCTTAAACCTAACGAAATCTTTACAAGCAAAATAAATGTTAAAATTCATCAAAAGTTAGTACCTGAACTTCTTAAAGCATTAAAACCAAGATATAGTCCTTTATATGAGTAGATAAACATGTAGCTTCAGCTTTCTATAAATACAGAAGAAGCCAGTATAATTATGACTAAAGAGGAATGCTCGATAAGAATAATTGATGATTGCATAGTAATAATCGACTTCATGAGATATAACAAATCAATAAATGTTTACATTTATATTACTATTTTATAATATTATTTTATCAAATATTTAGAAAAATATTCAATGTATTAAAGGCGTAAAAGTTATCTTTAATAAAGAAGATAATAGACTAGCACAATATAATAAAGAAAACTTTTAGGGATATTGGAAGAGAATGAGTTTCATTCACCTGAGCTAAGTGAAACAGATAATGAAAAACCTGATGGAAAAAACCTGATTAATGTTTATAACTTAATATGGAGATCAAACAAGATTTGGTATTATTAAGATAAATTATAGCATTATACTATTAATACTATTAACATTTAATATCTTTTAATTGCTTAAGTATCTTTTATGTAACGTATTTGATCCATTTTTAATGACATTACAAACCTCAAAATTATTAAGGCCTTGTAACTATAATGATGTCAAATTCCACTTTAATATTTCTCATCCAGTTAATATATCTCAATAGACATATGTTGAACAAATAGATTCCTATGAAACTGATGGCGAAGATGATGATAATAGAGATTAGTTTAAAAATCAAGAATCTAATAATCAAAAAGGTAACTAAGAAGACCATCAAGAAGAAGGTAGTAAATTTTCTATACTTGGTGAAATTCGTAATGCTATCCGACAAGCTGATGAAGAGAAAGAATAATACTATAAAAAGATGATAGAAAGACAACCTGAAAGTGATGATGATTATGTATTTTCAGATGATTATTTCAATCAATAATAATATTATTATTATTTAGCAATTTTTTATGAGCATTGTAGTAATAAACATTTTATATATATTATTGCTTTCAGTATATAATAAAAAATATAAAAAATGTAAGCCTTTTGGAAAATAATTAATAGCAAAGTCTCTTAATTCCTTATAACACTTTTAATTTGATTTTTTATTAAAAGTTTGTCAAACTAGCAGATTAAAACTATGTAGTTTGTATGATAATTTCTTATGATGATTTATGGATGAACTGTAACCAGTTTATCCTAATCATTATATATAACTTTTGTCTAAAAATTTTTATGATTTCGACCAGCTTTAAATCATGATTCGATCAAAAAGTAACCAGATGAAATCTAACTGAAATGGTTTATTTGACTAGTGGTTAAATATTAAAATTTGCTATATCAAAAGTTAACTATATCAAAATTTGACTATATTCACAAAATAAAAGGTTTAGGATTTCTGAAGACTTTTATAGTTATGCTATTTTAGATTAAATATAATGAGATTATTATAGCTATAAAAACTTATGAGAAAAAATATATAAGATTATTACTAAAGATAGAGCTGTAATTAATTTTAAAATTTTTAAGTAGTTGTAACTATTTATAAATTTTTATATTAAAATAAATTTTACAAGGGATTATAACTTATCAAGTTGTAACTTCTTAATTATAATACCATTTTTAGTCATTATCTAATAAAAGTGATATTTATATAGAAATATCTTAAATGAATGAAAAATATATATTTTTGAACATCTCACTATATTTAATAATAAAATTTTTTTTATATTATTCACATATTATTCTGCTATTATTATAAGACTAATCTCAAATCATATTGTAATATTAATTATAATATAATAAACTAAAAAGTTACCTTATAGATCACATGATTTTTACTTTATCATAAAATTTATCCAATTAACTAAAACTGGCAAATTCTCAAAATCCATCTAATTAGCTCATATATGTAATATATATTAGATATATGATGAAAAATCAATTATTAAATTTCTTATTTTTATTTATATTTTTATTACTTATTATTTTATTTATTTATATTATCAAGTTTCTTATAAAAAGAGTAACTTTAGAACTTTATTAAAGAAGAGGAAACATAATTATAACCTAGAGAATTTACTTAGTTTTATTACCAATAAGATAATTACTAAATATACTTGTATGCTAACAAATACACTTGTAATAATTCTTTTTAATTTAATAAAACTCTAAATTACTTAATCTATAAATTATACTTATTTACTTAAAATATATATTGATTACATAAACCTTCAAAAGCTCTTCATAAATCTTGTGTCATAAATCTTAAAGCTAATCTTTTATTAATCTTGTGTCAATATTAATTTTCAGTTATTAGTATTATAAGATAATAATAATTTAAATCTTTTTGATCAGAAAGCTTATATTAATAACAAATAATTACAAATATAATAAAAATTGCAAAATTTTCTAATATATTATAACCTATAGTTTAATAAAATAATTCAAAAGAAAAAATATTTCATTAATACCTAATAAAGAAAAATATTAGCTGAACTTTGAGATTAGGTTAAGTAGATATTTATACTATTAAAAATGAAATGATGTATCTTTATCTGTCATTTTAAAAAGGATATACAAGAAAATGTTCATTCATTAAAAATGATTTTTCAAAATGGAATCAAGATATTATTGTAAATTTAACCCAATAGAAAAAGCTTTCAATTCAAGCTGAATTTGTGTTAAATTACATAATCAAATCAGTTAAAAGTTTATCAAAAAATATTAGTACTGAAAGAAATGATTTTGACAAATATACTTAATATTCTATAATATAATATATACTATTATAATATCTGTAATTATAATAAAATTTGTTAAAGAGTATGATTTTAATTTAAAGATGAGTTTCAAAAAGCTTGATTATTATACGTTAGAATTATTTAAGCTCTTATTAGATATAAAAAAGAAAGCAGGTATAATAAATATCTTTAAGAAAAATTTTAATTTTAGTAAAGAAAAAATTTGTACTAGTCTCTTCTCAGAAAGCAAATATGAAGTTAACTTCTCTCTAATTAAAGAAGAATGAATAGTAAATATATGTCTAAGTTCTAACCAATTTTTATATGAAGAAAAATAAAACATCTAATCCTGTTGCTAGCTTATCATATTTTTTTAAAATTTTAAAGAGGATTGCAAATCTTTAATGTATTAAAAAAAAATCTCTGCTACATTAAATTGAGATACTATCTACTTTTTTAATAAATTTAAAAGAAGCATTATTAGCAATTCAAACTTAAATGAATAGACATTTCTTATTAGAATCAATTAAGAAAAGAATTACTATTAATCTGATCAAAATTTTATCATCTTTAATTTAATAGTCTCTCAAAATCTTTTGTATAAAATATGAGCTAGTTGAGAAATAGCTTTTCAAAATCTTAATGAATAGAATTTAATTTTATTGATACAATTTTTTAATTTTCTATATCTGTATCTTTAGATTTCCAATTTCATATTATGATTTCTTATTTGCATCAACCTGCTTTTTATAATAATATATATATTTTGCAAGATTTTTTTTAAAGTCTTTGATTATATGTTATGATATGACTTTAGATTTATTCATAATTTAGTAATTATTCTCTCCTTCACAATTACAGGTAATAATTTCAGTTTGATTTTCATTTTCTAAAATTTATAATATTTATTTAAAATAAAATTATATTAGTATATATTAATAATTATATTTTAAATATAAATTTAAGATATTTATTTAAAGAAAATAAATATTAATATTGATTTATAATAAAATTAAAATACAAGTATTAATTTTTTAATAATAAAATTATTATATTTAAAATATAACATAATATATTTTATTAATTTTATTAATAATTATAATAAATTTACATAAAATATAAAAGATTTAAATAATATTTAACAATTAATTTTAGGTTTTAATATATTTTGATATTCTAAGTAAACTTATTTATATATATATAAAACATAACTCTTTTACAGTTAATAAAAATTATCTGATTTTATCATAAATATTACACATGTAGTATTAAGAAATAAAGGAAGTATTATAGAAAATAATTTGATATAAACTGAATTTTTAAATTAATATAAATTGATTAAAAAAGTATTATTTTAAATTTAAATGATATAATTTTTATGAATATTAAGTTATTAAAGTTTTTTATTTTAATATAATTTAGTTTTTTTATAAATCATTAAAATTGATATTTTAAAGTTATAGCTATTAGAACTTATAATAGTAATTTAAATGGCAAATTTTGTCTGCAAACACAGATGCTATTTATTTTTTTTACATGTTTACGACACCTTTGAAATCATCAATTGAATGAAGGAAAATCATGCGTACATACATTTATATAATTAAAGAATTTCTTTTTTACATAAAAGTATACACCAATTCGAAATTCACACTTGTTCGTGTGTACTATTGTTCATATCTATGACTATTGAATTTGTTTTCCCAACATCTTTCTTTTCTTGTGTTGATTCTTCTCTTCTTACATTGTTTTTAAATAAACAAGAATTAAACTTTCCTTTTTCTTGTAGTTTGGCTAATTGTTGAGCTATCATTAATTCATTATCATCTTCCACACAATAAAACCATTCGCCCAAAATTACCCCACCTAAAGTAATAAGCAAAATAATTTCGGGTATACATTCAAATACGTAAAAAGCCCATTCATAATCATTTACAGGATTGGATTCATTCGCAAAAGAAATAAAAGTTCTATAAATCAATTCAATCAATAATAATGCGGCTGAGATGAATAAAACCAAAGCTTTTAATTGTTTTCTGATTGCCCCATCCCCGTATTTTATTGCAAAATGAGTAACTAATATTATGTAAATGATCACCAAACACAAAAATCCCAATGATGAAATTTGTCGGAGTAAAGGTACTAATGCTATATGAGTATCAAACTCCAAAATTTCCCCCATTATTCCTATAATTGAAAATGATGGTGAAAAGATTTTCAAAACTTTTATTAAATAACCTTCACAAGTTGACAAAGAAGCTTCCGATGTACCACCAATCAAAATAAAGAGCCAATCCGTTAATAATATATATAAAGCTTCGATTATCACAAAAAATCCTCCCGATAGTAAAACGTTCGATGTTACCCCGAGAATTACTGAATCGAGTTTTTGAGACCAAGCGGCGCGAAAAGCAAAAAGGCATGTTCTTAATAAACTGAATAGAAGCAAGTATACATATATCGTTCGTTTTAATTTTATTAATTTGTTTAAGTGAAGTAATGATGTTGCCGCAAATAATGTGACAAAACATATTGAAAATATTAAAGATGGTATCGTTGAATAATATAAAACTACCGATGTAGAAAGTTGTGATGGTTGTGATGGCATATTTCTGGATGTAGGGAAAATTCTTTATAGAATTTTGATGAACCGAACGGGGAAATTTCTTAAAAGAGTTTAAACTTTTAATAAAAAAATTTTTTTTTTGTTATACGAGTAATTTAGGCAAAAACACTTTTTTTTTAAAAAAAAACAACAAAAACACTTTGACTTTTCTTTTCGCAAAAAGTATTTTTTTTTTTTTCTTTTAATTAAAATTGTAGAATTGAAAATAATCTGTGTAGGTTCAGAACTCTTGGCATAAACATGGACATTTTAAGCTATTCCTAATTTAGAATTGCCAAGACATTTTTGTTTAAAACTATCAGCGCCAAGAAAAAATGTTTGTGTTCAGGTACTGCGGCGAACAATTAACGCGATCGATAAAATCAAAATATCCACTGCATTTTTTTTTCGAATGCGATCTTAACAAATATTTACGTGCATTATTCAAAATGTTCTTTTACTTGAACGATTTTAAGATATAGTAAAAAAGAAAAAACAAAAAAAATCGAATGCATTTAAAATAAAGAAAAAAGTATTTCCTTTTCCTCTTTTTTTTTGAAAAAAAAAAAATAGTTCATAAATTATTTGTCAGAACGTCTTTGGTGGATTAATGGATAGGATGAAAGCATAGTTTTCCTGCCGTTTTTTTTTTGGTTTTTTTTTGCTTGGTCGATCCATATTTTTGAACTAGTCCAAATTTATAAATAGCAATTAAATTTTGTACAACAGTACATACTCATTATATGAATTTTTAGAAATTTTGTGGCAAAAAGAGATTGAGTAAAAAAGTATAGGATGAAGCGTAATTTAAAAGTTTTGGCTCTAGGTTTAGGGTTAATAGTAGCAGTCATTAGTAAAATAACTGAAGCAGCCGGTGGTAAGTTTCTACAATTACGTTAAGGTATTTCGATTTTTGAGTTTTCGCAACACGTTGCGTTAATGAACATTTTTATTTAATTAGCCTCAGAGTATTTTGTGAGAAGTTTACCCGGATTACCAGAAAATGCAACCCTGAAATCTCATGCCGGGTATGTTGTTTAATTAATGTTTAGTACAATAATTCTCGTTCGTAATTTTCTCGTAATTTAACTCGTTTTTATTCAGTCATATTCTACTTGATCAAGAAACAAATTCAAATGTGTTTTTTTGGTTGATTCATAATCAGCATATTTCTGATACACCTAAATTTGTAAGTTTCATTTATGTTGAATGGAATGGCTAATTATTTTATTGATTATTTTGTTAATTATTTTTTTATTTTTTATTAAGATCGTTTGGCTTAATGGAGGTATGTTTATATATTTTTTCACATGATCCTTTTGATCGAATTCTGTACATTTTTTGTTGAAATACCAAAAAATAAACTTATAACGTTTATATATTTTTTTACGATTCTGATAGGTCCTGGATGGTAAGTCTTTAGATATTTTTTATTTTAAGAGAAAGAAAAATTGATTAATTTATACTTTATCTAAATACCGATCCGAAACATTAGTTCAAGGTAAGAAATCTTTTTGAAGTTCTTTAAAGAAAAACAATTTCACTAATCGTAATTTATTGATATAGCATGGATGGATTATTTCTCGAGAATGGACCTTGGAGAATAAAGCAAGATCAAACATTTGAATTAATCGATGGATCATGGAATGAATATGCAAATGTATTATATGGTAAACTAATATTAATTCTTAATAATATTAATACCCAATATATCGAATATAAATTTTTTTAATCATATTTAATATCAATTAGTTGATTTTCCTGTGGGAACCGGGTTTAGTTTTGCCAATAGTAATAGCTATTTGAAAAATGTTACACAGGTAATACCATATTTGGTTTGCAATAATGAATCAGATTGAATTCGAATTAACTCGATTTTTATTAGGTATCCCAACAATTCTTATTATTTCTTGATGAATTTTTTGAAATTTTTCCGGAATACGCCGATGATGATGTGAGTTGTTCTTTAATGTTATCCAAAGAAACTCAAATAAGAAGTGACTATTTAATTAAATTCGGATGTATTTAATTTTAGATGTATTTAAGCGGAGAGAGCTATGCTGGAACGTTTATACCATACATAGCTTCTTCCATTTTGAAAAGAAATAGTGCAAGGAAGACGCCCGAGAATAAAAAGGTATGCGATATTATAAATATTTCATGTCATCATTAAACTATTTATTCACTTGATTGAATTTTTATAGTATGGCTTAAAAGGTATTGCTATCGGCAATGGATGGATTGATCCGGCATCCCATGTATGAATCAATGGCTATGAATAGATTGTTTTCATAAATAAAGTATAACATAATAACACATGGTATATCCTATTTAGTACAATGCTTATTATACGTTTTCGGTTGAAAAAGGGTTATTGGATGGAGAAGATAAAGTAAGGGTCATCAAAAGTGCTTCTTTCTTTGCGTTTGAATTTAGATATCTTACCTTTTTTTTATTAACTTTTAGAATACAGCTGAAAAGCAATTGGAAGAATGTATGAAAGTACAAAAGAAAAAACCAGCCATACATTTAGATATATGTGAACAAATTCTTCAAACGATCTTAAAACATTCCAAGAACAAGTAATTTCTGTAGACTATATTTGTATTTATTATACTGAATGATTTCAGTTATAATTTTTTTTTTTTTTGGTCGCGTAGAACTGGAGAGAATGAAACGTGTATAAATCAATACGATATTAGAGATCATTCAGATACGTATCCTTCTTGTGGGTTTAGATGGCCTTATGAACTTTCTACCATTACTGAATATTTAAGGGTAATTCTAAATTCTCTCACGTGATAAGCTAGTCTTATTTTAAAATTATTAAATTTCATTTTGGTATATTTGTAGAGGCCGGATGTTATTGGGGCCATTCATGCAGAACGACAACAAATTGGATGGGTTGAATGTAATCTTGGTATTGGAAGAGATTTTGATAATGATCCAGATCCACCCTCCGTCACAGTGCGTATAAATATTATTGAAAGGATAGCATTAAAATTTTATTTATTGATTTTTCTCATTAATCGTTTTGTAGTTACTTCCGGATTTATTAAAACAAATCGATGTATTATTATACAAGTATGTATGACGTATTAATGTTGATTGATAATAAAAAATAATAAATAATTTTGTTATTTCTACTAGTGGAGATCAGGATTTGATCTGTAATATAAATGGAATGCAAGATATGTTGAATAATTTAGAATGGAATGGATATAAAGGATTTAAGGTATCGAAAAATATTATGATTTTGATTTTGGTTTTTTAATTGTTTCTAACCACAAAATTTTAAACCATAACATTAGAACCAAACAGAGTTATCATATTACGTCAATAATACACAAGTAGGACATATATTAAAAGAGAGGAATTTAACCTATGTAGTAGTATATAATGCAAGTCATATGGTACCTTATGATGCACCGGTAACTAGTATGGACATGATGTATAGATTCATCGGATTAGACCATCATCTTGTTAATAAATGGCCTTCTACAATTGGAATAGAGGTGAGTTCATAATATTGAAATAGGATTTCATTTCTATTTTTGGAATATTAACTTTTTTTTTGTAATAGGACAATGATTTATCAAATTCAAATGAAGAAGAAAATTGGGATAGATATTACAATGTGTAAGTATTGTTTTCGTGCCATTTTTCATTCTTATTTTCCATATTTTTTCTAACAAAAGTATTTGAAAAATTGATTTTTGTAGAGGAACGTTTACACTCATATTTGTAATATGCGGAATACTTGGATTAGGAGCATTTGTGATTCGTAATAAATTAAGAAAACGTAGGAATACAAGTCAAGCTATGAAGGCTGCCGTGATAGATGAGTCGGGAGAAATGTACGTAATATTTCCCTAACACACTATTGTTTAGATACAGTTAATAATATATATTTTTTTACAGGGAAGAATTGGTAATAGAAACACCATTGTTCCAATCAGATGATGTGGATCATTTTGGAGACAGTGAACCGGAAGATGATAATAATGCATCATCATCAAGTAGTCGTCGAATTCGAGAAAGAAATCAAGGTAGTAGATATCAAGATGAAGATGATATTAGAGAAGAAAGAATGAGATTAAGACCTAGTGACGAAAGATAATTATTAATTATAATATTAATTATTTAATTATTTATAGAATATTATTATTATTAAAATAGTGTGTGATTTTAAACAAAAAGAACAATTACTAGTTAAAAAATATAATCTTTATTTTGTATTCATATTAAAAATTTTTTTAAACTTTTAAGAATAGATGTTAGACTAAAACTCATGAAAATTTAATATTCATTGATTTCGTTCTAATTATCAATTATTTGCAATTATAGAAATTTAAGTCTTTGTTTTTTATTACGATCAATAAATAATCTTTTACATCATCATAACGAAAGAAATTTAATATTTGGATGCCTAATGGGATGGCAAATTTTTGATAAATATATTTATTGTATTAAGTAATCGTTTTAATTACGTTTTTCAGTCAGCGTTGTCATAAAAGTGGTAAGAAATAAAACTAATACCGAAGATAAATTATCCACCATTTCCAAGATGCGAATGGGCTAAAAACTTTCTTGTGAATCAGATAATCTATTTTTTTTCAAACGAGATTTTTTTTCTCGCGTTTTTTTTTTTTTTTTAAAAAAAAAAAACTGGATTTTTTCTTTTGATTCTTCTTTTTGATCATTTATCGCGTTTTTTTTTTTTTTTTTTTTTTTTGTTAAAACTAGTTATTAACATTTTTTTTGACTCGTGTTCATGCGCGTTAATGCATTATTAAAACTCTTCTCAATCAGGTATGATTCCAAGTCTTTTTTGTGATACAAATTGCTATTGAAGAGATAATTTTGAATTTATTTGCAATTTGCATTCAAGTTTAAATGTCCATATCATAAAAGATTTAACAACAATCCAAATGTGAAAATACTTTGTTCAAATTTCAAATTTTTTTCTTTAGATTATCATCAGATCGATCGTTCATCTTTTTTTTCGGTTGGGGCATACATAAAAAAGAAATTGTTGAAATAGATTAGCGTGTGAGAAACATGGAAAAAAGCTAAAAAAAAAAAAAAATTTCAGGTTTTTTTTTTTTTCAAGGAAATACACTAGTTTGATTAATCCATTTCGTCACATGATCATATGAACTGTCGTACCTCAACATTCATTTAATTCATTCATCGTTCGAATTTGGGACAAGAGGACTAAACACGTTTTAAATCCATTCAAGATGAAGTGCCATTCTGAAATTAGTCATATTATTATCAAAAAAAAAACAGATAATTCATCAAAAGGCAACATTACAAGATTATCGAAGAAAAAATGTTTAAAAATGTCAATTTTAATAAAAAAGTAAGTTAAGCTAGATCTGCAAAACAAAGAAAACCCGTTAAAAAAATCACTAACAAGGTAACTATCCCTTAATTAGGATCTGCAACACAGAATTCAGCTAAATCTGCTCTCCTTCATCACAAGGCAGAAAAATTATCCCTTAATTAGAAAAAATTATTGTTTTATCCCTCAAAAATTATCACCTCCTTTACTTAATGACTCATATCTCGAAACTACTCCGTAAATTTCCATTTTACATTAACGAAAACACACTTAGCATACATATGACAACTATCATTAGTTCCTTGTATCATCATTTCATGTAATTAATTAAAAAAAAAAAACGGAGTTTAATTAAAAAATGATAACTATTTGTTTATGTTGGTTGTCTTTGTGACCTAAGAATATCAAATCACATATATCATGAGATGAGATAATTTTTTTTTCCGTGATAAATTTGTGCAAGTTAGATTCAACATTACTAATGTTTTGAAGGGAACATTCTCCCTTGATGACCATTTTTTTTCCCGCCTAAAATCATAAAATAAGGTTAATACTTTATCTACTATTTATGTTTGTCAAACAATGTGATGAAAGTTTAATTTTCAAAAAAAGTCTTTTAACGACAAATAAATCATGGGGTTTTGTACTATATATCTTATTAGTTCTGATACATAGCACATGTAACTAAAAATATCATTTCATACTTATCCTTAATCATTGTTTGTATTACAAATTTTTTTTTTGTTTACTTGTAAAAATGAGATGTAAATGCACATGATTGAGCGGTTAATGACTTATTCGGCAGAATTATTGTGATTATTTAGTTTGTATTTGTAGAATGTAATGCATGTAAAAAGGCTTAGCTCGTTCTTTACTTTATTTTAAAATGGAGTTTCTTTGTGTAAGGTTGTTGTTCATGGATCTACAACCTTTAAATCATGCAATAAATTAAAAATTGTTTTCGTGCGAGGAATCGCGTATCTAACGGGGCAAACATCTAAAAGTCATTGAAAAACGGGATCGCGGGATTTTGAACCTTGTGGGGTACACATTTGTATTTCCTTTATTTTTTTTTAGCTTGGAATTTAAGATATAAAAAGGCTCCAGATTTCGCCTTGAGAATGTTTCCTCGTTACCATACCAACAAATCTTTTTTATACAAACACTTTCTGCAAACAAATCTTTTTTAATTATTATTTTTGAACGTTTTAATACGTTTTCAATACCTGCAAATATATTAAATAATTTTTTTTTAAAAAATTATTACACAATTCCTTACCTTTTTTTTTCTTTTTCTTGAACGTTTTACTACGTTTCAAAAAAAAAAAATACTTTTTTTTTTAAATATTTGCTTTAACGATTAATTTCTTATTTTTTAACGCAAAAAGAAAAATCTTTTTCTTTTACTCTACAAACAAAATTACCCCTCTTTACTCTCTACTTCTACTCACAAACTCTACAACCTTTTTCTCTTCAATCTTAACTTTTTTAACAACAAAATGTCTACCAAATCTGCAAAACCTATGCATCCTACACAAACCGCTATCACCAACTTTTTGAAAGTTCCAAAAACTTTCAGGAAAGATGAAGAAAGGGTCAAAAATACCTTTGGTTTCACTCCGGTATGCAATAAATAAAATTCGATTTTCAGAATGTTTTAACTCGCTTTTAATTTGACTAAATTTGTTGAATCTTTCTTTTTATATCTTTAGTTTGACAGTAAGCAATCTCGGAAAGCCTCCGAACTCGCTGGAAAGTTTATGGAAGTCGCAAATTCCAATCCTAATGATCCAATTGACAAGGTTCTCGAGGCCGCCCAGAAACAGACCGAAACCGATGATCCCGAATTAGTTCGTTGGTCTCTTATGATTTTCATTGCTCATCATCCGGCTGCTCGTAGTGGACAATTACGTATTCCTTCATTGGTTAAACGCGCTCCACAATTGACCGTTCCCAAGAAACCTCAAATTGCACTCGCGCCGGGTCCCATCATCTCTGATCAACCGATCCCGTCGCAATCCGAATTATCGGGAGATGGAGACGTGGAATTGTTTTTGGATTGGTTCAGAGAGGATCCTAATCTTAACGAGCACCACGAACATTGGCATATCGTCTATCCCGGTGGTGGGGTACCCGATCCAAACAATCCAAGGGTCCGAATCACAAAGGATCGACATGGCGAATTGTTTATCAACATGCATCGACAGATGTTAGCCAGGCATGATATCGAACGTTTAGCGTTGGGTATACCTCTTATTAAGCCTTTGGAGAATTACAAAGAACCGATTCCACAAGGATATAATCCCAATGATCATTTAGTTGATTCGAATGATAATTCTCCTTATGCAACTCGTCAAAGCAATAAAAAGCTTGGAAATCTGGGTAAAGGAATGACGATTGAAGATTTGGAATCGTATCGAAAATCTATTGAACAAGCTATTGAAAGTGGCAAGATCAGTAATATGGAAATCACTCCGACATTGCTGGGTTCCACCATCGAATCTTCTCACCGAGAAATGGAACAACATTATGGATCTTTGCACAACACCGGACACGTGTTGCTTGCGTACATTAATGATCCGGGGCGCGCGAACGACGCCGGAAATGATCCAGGTGTGATGAGCAGTCCACGCGTCGCGGCACGTGACCCAGTATTTTGGAGATGGCACCGTCATATTGATGATTTGTTTAATAAGTGGCAGGAGAAATTAAAATCTAATGACTTTTCCGATGCACCACCAGTAAATATTAAAAATGGAGACATCATTCTTACATTTAAAGATAAACTTCCCATAAGTCATGATGCGACTCAGGACAAGCAAGCAGCCGATTTTGGGGAAAAAACATTTGGAGGGAATAATTTTGGAGCAGATGTATCAAAAAGTGAATATGTTACGAATGAATTACAAACCAAAATGAAACGTAGGAATTGGACATGGGTTGAAGATTCAGGAAAGACCGATCAGATTGAGTATTTGTTCCCGCGAGAGTATTATTATTTTTTCCGTGTTGAGAACACTTCTTCGTCCCAATTGGATGCGACATTCCGCGTATTCTTGGTGCCAGAAGAATTAGCTCAGTCGAGACGTCATTGGATTGAATTGGATAAGTTTAAACAAACTTTGGCTCCCAAATCTCACACCGTGGTCTGTCGTGATTGTGATATGTCATCGATCGTACGTCAACCTCCGCAAAAGACTGAAGATGAACTAGATGATACAACAACTCCGCCTGGTACGGTGGAATCTTTAAATGAGAAATATTGTGATTGTGGTTGGCCCTTCCATCTTCTGCTGCCCAGAGGAAGGAAAGATGGAATGAAATTTAAATTATTGGTGTTCATATCAGACTGGTCTAAAGATAAAGTACCAACAATGAGTAGGTGTGGAAGCATTAGTTACTGCGGCGCTGAAAGACCCGGTGATAAATATCCTGATATCCGACCCATGGGTTATCCGTTCGATAGACCGTTCAAAAATAATTCTTATGAAGAGGTAAGGATAGGATCCCAAGAAAATTATAATTTTTTTTTTTTTAAATTGCGAGGTTTCAATTAATAATTTTTTTTTTTAATTTACAGACGTTTGCAAATTTACATAACGCGTCCATTAAAGATATTACTATTCGTTGGGTTGACGATTTCCCTGAAATCGTCACCAAGGCATAACAATAGTTATCACTTGTATATAATTTACACTTTTCTTTTTTTTTTACACTAAACTTAATATTTTTGTGTTTTTCATGAAGTCCCGATTACAATTTTATTCTTCCTTTTCAAAAAAAAAACAAAAAAAATTACCTATCTGACAAAAAAACTATTTACTATTAGTTATGTAAGAGATTTATATGTTTCATTAATGTTTCATTAAGATTTTATTTTTTAAGATATCTTTTTAAGTATTAGCGCTATTATGAATCAGTTTCTTTTTAATCCCTCTAGCTAGCATTGTATATATGAACAGTATTATTCAATTTTTTTTTTTTTCCTTTCACTTTTTTTTTGTTTATTCCATTCGATCGAATTATGCATTTCCAAAGGGTTCGGCCAAACTTTTTTGGGAATATTATGTGTCAATAAAAAATTTGAAAATTTGTAAAAAAAATTTTATAAACAAAAAAAAACAAATGTTTTCGAGTCTCCTTTTTTTTGAATTGAAATTTTTCTGATTGCTGAGACGCGATTTATTAAATCACTCTGTGTCGAAAATTTTACTAACCTAAAAAAAAAAATTAAAACAAATTAAGTTACGCGAGCGTATATTTCTGTAAGGCCAAAAGAAGTACAGGATAAAATATACATATTTTTTTTTTTTGCTTTTATTAATTTTTTTTAGTGAAAAATGAAAATGAAAATAATTAGTACAATATATAATATAATACGTTAAAAAATTATTAGATTAATTAATTATAAATAGTTTTTTTTTTTTGAAAATTGTTTTTTTTGAAATTTTTTTTTTTTTTTTTTAAGTAATGAAATTGTCGAAGTAACCGAAAATATTAAAAATGTTGGTCTTTTTTTAATTGGCTATATAAGTATCCCAATCAACATCAAAATATTTCTTTTTGAACCAACTTGAAGGTTTCTTTAACTTCCTTTGTCGAACGCCATGATTCTTGGTAATGTAATAATAATATCTTTCATCAATGAAACAATTTATATAGGCAGGTAAACCATCATTCGAATTAGCAAATAAAGTTTGTAATTCGATTGGTATCAGATCATTATGTGATGGATGGTTGTACGGAAATCGAAGAATGTGAAGAATCCGACTTAATAGATGAAGCGATCGTTGATGATCTAGCGATTATATAAGGAGCCTCTAAAAGAGAGGATTGAGAAACTGTATCATTATTTACAAAATATGGGGAGGACAAGGCGGATGACGCAAATGTAACGGAAGGGGGTTTTTTCGGTTTATTAATTTGTGGAGATGATCTTGGGTGATGGTTACCCGTATTAAGAATTGAATTTCTTGGGGAGTTATTAAATAATGAAGTTTGAGAATAATTATTTTGAATTGAGAATTGAGGTGAATCACTAAGAATTGAAATTGGTGGAGAATTATTACTCAGGATTGAACTTGGAGGTGAATCTGTCCTTGTAGTTATAGTTGCATAAGAATTCCTTCTTGAACCGATCACATCTGACGAGGATATCGAAGATGGAAGAGATGGTTGTGATGAGTATAGACATTCACCACACAAGCAGTTCTCAGAATTGTAGCATGGATATTTATTATAATCCGACATTGTAAGTTTGTCCTAATTTTCAAGCAAATTAACATTTAGATTTCGAGACTATTTATACATTTATATATTTCGAAATAAAAAATTACCTTGTCAACGCGTTTAATCACAACCTATTATATAAATATACATACAGTATTAGGTGTAAAAATAAACAATTGGTTCATCAATCAAATCAAAAAAAAAAATTTTCGCACTTCTTTTTATTGACATAGCTTCTAGCAGTCACAGTATGACTGGCTTTTCCTTTGCCACAAAAAACTTTGCATGAGTTAAACACTTATACAAAAATACTTTTTTTTTTCTTTTTTTAAAAAAACAATCCCTTATATCTTTTTTCCTTTCATTCTGTGGTAGATCAGTTGTGGTAGATCTACTTTAACGTAATTCATTTCAATGTAAATCATAAATGCTTGCATTCATTATCCATTTATGACCATGGGAACTTTTTTTTTTTTTTTTTTTTTTTTTTTTGCAGGTTTTATTTTAAACTTGATCGTCAGATAATCTAATACAATTGCGCAGTTAAATACATGTATATAGACAATAAAATATGCTTCATCTTATGTCTAATTAATTTTGGATTATTTTTTAATATTTAGTGTTTTGGGAATCCCTCAAGTTATCCATTTATTAACTTCAAATATTAAATTAAAATTCTGAACAAAAGGAAAGAATGCGATTTTGAAATTCATTACATATACATGAGTCAACAAATGAATTCAATCACCCATCATAAATCAAATAATTTAGAAAACAAAAATGACCAAAGGATGATTATGATAGAATAAAGGGAATAAAGGTTATTACATATTTTCAAATTACTAATAAAAAGACCATTAAATGAATCATATTACAAACAATATCAAGAAACCAGGTTCATGAATAATTTGTAAGTGATAAATCGAGCCAGTTTTGAAAATCATTTTCCATATATGTGTAAGTCCATTCATTATCTTTTCTTTATATTTATAATTATATTTTGCCAAAAAAATCATCTAATATATCCGAAAGGTTTGTATTATTCCGAAAATTTCGGTTCGGGTTGGAAAATTTTTGATCCTTCTATCCGAATCGAACCGATTCGGCTTCGTTCTATTATGATTCGAGATTTAGATGGCATATTTGGATATTCATTATTGACTTCATTTCTGAAAGATTTTTAACCTGCCGCTAACTCTCAACATAAAGGATAATATTAAATGTTGGGATGACATATCTGAATGAAATTTATAAACGCTGGCTTTTAAAGTAAATTTGCTTGAATTGGAATGAAGTCATCAGAATGAATGAATTAATGAAATGTGGATCTGTATTACATTTTCATGATGTGAAATTCAAATTTAATTTGTTACCAATGTACAAATTCGAATCTTTATTATTAGTATGAAAATTTGAAATATAAAATGTATCCTTTATTTTCGAACCTATCCAATAAAGAGTCTTTTAATGATTTTTCATTTTTATATATAGGAGCTAAGCTATTAAAACCATAAGTTACACCGCAGTAAACATTTTTTAACCAGCCAGCAGTAATAAATTGTACTCTAAAAAACGTGATGATCAGATAAGTCCTCCTACGTTTCGCTCCAGACAATTATATGCGTTATTTGAATTCTACTCTTGGAAATTAATTTTTTGTAACACTTAAATTTAAAGACATTATTTACATTGATTTTTTAATACAGTATTAAAAAATTTGTTTAAGTAAAAATTTTCTTTTTCAAACCATTTGAATATTATTTAAATACTTTACAATAATGGGAGGTTTTGCTAGGAAAATGGGATTCTGAGAATTTTTTGCATTTTATTAAAACCTCCCATATATTGCATATATTGATCATTTGTCAGAATTTAATAGCATATTTTATTTTTATAGATTATCCGGGTTAACGTTAAACCGAAAAAGAATCAACCTTTAAACAACAAAATATATATATGGGTCATGGACTAGCAAAATGTCCCTCCGGTAAATTTATTACTTTTTTGAGAAATAGAATTTAAAATTTTATCGTTTTCATTGTTTACAGTTTTATTTTATTGCTTATTAAATTTCTTACATTTTTTTTTTCTTTAAATAATAAAAAAAATAATCTAATCTTGCAGATTATTTTGATTCTTCAGAATATTAGATTATTAGATTTGATTATAAGATTATTTCTGAACTAATGGTGTAATTGGTAACATGTAAAAGAACTTAGACTTAAAATGGTTATCAAATAATTGATTTGGGTAAAAACCAAATTTAATTTTCCGACAAAAAAACTACGAGGAGAATAAATATGGATTTTTTTTTTAAAAAATAAAAAGAATTATTGATCATTTGAAAAGGTTGATGATTAAATATCAACAGCAACTAAGGCTCTTACGGTTCCCCAATTATCGTTACCAATTTCTCTAACTTTTTTATGAATGGTATCTAATTCAAGCAATTGAGTTCCGGCCACGACATAAACGTTATGATCAATAACGGTAGCCGACTTTACATTTGACCAAGATCTTTTAGAATCATCAGAATTATCAGGAGAATCGGTATCAAAAAAAGGTGCGCTCTTGCCATTTTGAATGTTAACTTCCCATAATCCATAACAAAAAGCGATTAATTTACCGTCAACTTCGACCAAAGCTCTACAAGTTGACCAATTATCCGAGCCACCTCCCAATTTTTTTGGTTCATCCTTACCAGTACTATCAACGCACCATAAATTATTTGCCGAAGTGGTGGCAAAAATCTTTTGACCTACAACCGTTGCAGCGTTAACTCTTGTCCAAACGTCCGTAAATCCTCCTAGAAAATCCACACAATGACCTGTACTTGGATCATCAATTAACCAAAGTTTATGACAAAATGCGAACATTTTATCTCCACCATTTGGAACCGCAACCAAAGCGTTGCAAGTTCCCCACCCGTCCCAGCTAATCTTTCTTGCCTCTTCATTATCTAAAGAAATTTCCCAAAGATTATTAAATGATGTCGTGATATAAACTTTACGAGTTGAAGGAAGTAATGTCGCCGCTGTCGTTGCAATCCAATCATCTGAATTAAATTTTTTATATTCTCCGTCTTTCGGATTTACAAGATATATTTCCCGGCAAATGGCTAAAAGTTGTATCATGATGACGAATGATAAAAAAAAAAAAATTTTAATTTGATATATCAAAGTTCCGTTATGCTTCAGATTTTTTTTTTTTTAATTTTAAATTTTTTTTTTCTCACACTTTATGTTGGAAGAAGAAAAATGATTGTTGAAATAAAAATTATTGATGTAATCTTATCTAATGGTGAACGAAAAAATCTGTGAAACAAGGAGTAAGGCGCTATTACAGGTTAATTCCAATTCATGGGCCCTTGCATTATTACTTCTATTTAAGTAATTACCCATGAACGTCCCATCATCATATTGTTTTTTTTTGTTAGTAAATTCAACTTGCGCGATAAATTTATAAATCTCACGTTCCCTTTTTAGAAATCATAATAAAAGAAAAAAAAAATTATTTTCTCTTTGTAACTGTACAAAAAAAAAGTCATCTGATATTAATCAAGATCTAAAAGTTTCTATTTATATTTCGAAATCTTATCTTGCATTCTGCTTTTATAAAAATATACATTAAAAAATGCTAAATAAATGATCGTAAAAGTATGTCTATCGACGTGTCTAACCAGATTCGTGAACGAAGCAATCTTTGTCTCTGCCAATTCTCTTTCCTTTTTTTCCTAATACTAATGTACCATATTTTTATAATTAAAAAAAAAAGGAATATTTTGAAAAAAAATTAATATTCCAAATATGTCAAACGTATACTTTAAAAATTAGCCACATTGTGCATCATCGATTCTTTGTTGCAGAAAAAGAAATGAAATACAAGCATTTAATATTGAAAAAATGATTTACATTCAACCTACTGACAAAGTAAGTAAAGAATAAAGGCAATTCATTTCGTCATTTCCTTATTCCCCCAAAATCTGCTGAAAATTCAACAGAAGGGAAAATTTTTTACTTATTTCGGATTATTTCAATTTTAAGAATCATTTGACTGTTGTCGATGCATCAGCTAGATACTTAAGAATTAATTAAATTGTTGCTTGAGCAACGAATCTCATCTTTGATTTGTTCGCAACCAATAATACACAAATAAAATTTATCGATAAAAAATAATTTTAGAAATATTCGATTAATTACGATCCGGCGTATTAAATCGATTTGCGTCAGATTCCGACGGATGATGATGCTGAGCTGACCCATTACCGGTAATCTGACAACTGAGGCACAAACATATAGATTTTTTACCGACTGAACATTCATCATATCTTATTCTTCCCATTTATATTTTGTTCTTTGTTAAAATTTTGAACTAGGAATTTCCAACATGGTGTAATATATATAAAGTCAAAAATGTGATGATATATTTTTATCAATCTAACTAGAAGATTTAAAAAGAAAATACAAAGAATCCGATGGGTGTCTTCACTTTTACAATTACTCGGGAAATTAGAAAATCTTTTTTAAGAGTTCAACATAAATGTGTTGACTTTCATGTAAAAAAATATGCGCACTTTATGATACAAGTTAAGCTAAATTCAAAAAATGTTATTGACCAACCCTCTGCTAAAAGAATAATTTCACATTTCATTCATATATTTCTCATCGTTTTACAATTTTGCATTTTCATTTTCTTGTTCTTGCTCATTTGCTTTCAACTCTTCCCTAATTTCCACCAGCAAAAGTCCCAACTTGTTAAAACCTTTACTTCCATCTTTCCGAGTAGCAGTACCCCAATAACTGTCTGTCGGTGATTCTTCCTCCAATTTAGCATCTTTTGTGCTCAATAACTTTTGTTTTAATTTTTGATGTTGAGTAAATTTGGCTCTTAAAGCCGTACGCATAACTTCATCTTTAGCTTCTTCCCAATCTGGACGCAAACCTTTGGCTTTACGTCCGAATTTGGCTGCTTGTCTAGGATTTGCGAAATTTTTGATTTTTTGTTGAAATTCAGGATTTGATGTAAATTTTTGAGCTTAAACCAAAAAAATAAAATAAAAATATTAAGTTTTTCGGATTTTAAAAGAAAATTTACAAATAAATTTTTTACCTTGAAAATAATGTTCATTTGTTGACCAAGTCTCACCATTTATTAAAATTTCTGCTTCATAAAAATTACTGAATTCCCCCCATTTTCGACTTGTTCTATAAAAACGAATTATATTTTCTTTGGATGACAACTTCTTCAGTCGATCGCTTCGCCTCGGGAAATTCGACATATTTAATTAATAGTTGTGGTTTATTATTAATTTTTTTTGGAAAAAGGTTGATCGGTAGTTTATATATATATATAACATTACGCCAATACGCCATTTCATTATGCGTCATTCAAAGATTTTTTAAAATAAAATTGTTCAACATGAAAGCATTCAATCCTCGGATACAATAATGAGCTACATTTCCGATCCGTAAAAACTTTATTTGGTAAGCGTGTAAGCGCATTCTTGTCACCCGACAAACAAGGTATTTAGCTTTTCGGTGATTATTTGTCAAAAAAAAAATTGCCCGCAATTTTTTAATCGACGTCTTTCACATGGCGTGATCGCCATAACTGACACAATGCAAATAAATTTAAATCATACATAAAAATAAAACGGATTTGCAAAAAAAAAATTTCTGGAAAAAGCTTGCCAAAAAATAGCATAGCCATGTGGCTCAAGAGTTTCTATATTAATAAATTTTAACAAAGCCAACCGAAAAAAATTTTAACCTCTGTTTTTTACTTTGCTTCTTTTTATTTGTTAAAAAAAAAAAAATAAAAAATAAAACAAAATAAAATAATTATTTAAAAAATGCAGTCACCAACGAGCACGGAGTTTAATGGTATCATAAGGCCTGCTTATGGCACAAAAACTGTATTAAAAGAAAAGTTTGTAGAAATTTATGAGAGTTTTTTTAAGGTGGATATAATTTAATTTCCTTATTTATTAATTTATCCATGATCTAACCAATATTATCACCAAATCATTTAGGGTAATGATCCATCAGCGGGTCAACCAAATTTTTGGAGCGAATTATTTTTACTTAAAGTTAATGTAGTATATTTATCAAAATGTCTTTCCGAAATTTCTCAGGATCAATTGTTGGCCATCAAAGTAAGTGAATGTCATTTGTAATTATTGATTAAGATCAGATATCGACTGATCATTCTGGTGTCAATTAGAATAATATTAGCAAATTATTTTTAAAATCAATTGAAACCATGAAAGAAGAAAGCGTTCAGAGAAAAATAAATGCTATTGACGTAAGTGACATATTTAAGTTTTGATTTCACGTGTTTACATGTATTAATGAAATATATTGTTATTTAGACATTGTGTGCGTTGCTTCAAGGAATATTTTCCAAGAGATTTAATAATTTCTGTTTTGAAATTATTACTCTCTTGACCGGATTAAATAATGCTGATACCGTTTTTCCAGTAAGAGAAATGTCCAAGACAATAAATCTATTCGCTGATAAATTATTATTTCTTTTTTTTATTTAAATATAAATTCTCTTATAGCAATTTGTTGATACAATCAAGTGTTTAATGAATGATGGCGAGACAGGTGAAATATATTATGTAAATAACATTTATTCTTATATCATAACTGATTCGATTTTGATATTTTATATATTTAGCGGAAGTCAAGTACGAGGCATTAAGATTAGCCATTGTGGTTGTATGCGGAAATAGTAATATCAATCAGAATAGTTTAAATGGATATTTCATGAAAGATGATATTTTCGATCCTTTAATTAAGGTATTTTATCATCGCATCTTGTATATGATAATGTTTTGAAATATTTTACCCATATGCTTACCTCTTAATTAAAAAGATAATACTTGCGCCGGAAACATCACACGTAGCATATGAAGCCATTATGTTATTGGACATCCTGGCAAATTATAATAAGCACGAATCAAAGAACCCTTATTTAATAAAATTAATTAATATTAAAAATGAGGCCGTGTTTGAGGTAATTGTATATCAAAAGGATACAGATCATTCGTTTATAAATAATTCGTTATTAAGCAGATTTGATCTTTTATTTACAATTTACAGAAAATTATGAATGTATTGGCAACAACTTGTGTCAAGTGTCGAAGGTATTTATCATTTATAGTTATTTTATTAAAGTTTTTTTTTTTTTAATAAATTTTTACTTAATTACATTTTTTTTTCCTTTCTAGCAAGTATATTGCTATACAGGATGATGATGAAGCTAACAAATATTTTGTTTCATCCCTTGCTACATATGTTGGATCCATTTTATCCTGGACTGGCAATGGAACAAAGAAACTCTCAAATGTTTCGGATCCGGAATTGGCATTTGTTAGATTGTGAGTTCTCCATTATTATATTGATTAAGAAAATAATTTTTTTATGCACTTCTCACAAGTTTTATCATACATATGTATGACACGTAATGATTACATATAGGCCATCTGCGAATATTTCAATTCTTTTGGTATTTTATGATTTGGTGAATAATAACAAACGATTTGTTGATCATCTAGCAAAATCCATTATAAAGTTTCCAATTTCCGCAGAATCCAAAGTCAATGAGCGTGATTCCACGACAATTACCTCTTCTATAGAAATTATTCGAGGTATAACAAAAATATATATTTATTTAAAATTTTGATTGACCAATTGTGAATAGTTTAAATAGTTACTTACGATATTTTTTTCATAGATGGTCCATATTTTTGTGATTTTCTTTCAATTTCTTCATATCTTTTACAACACAATCGTACTAACCGTACGGCAAGTTATGCGAATATAATATTATTGATACTGGTAATATTAGTTGAGGATTCGACATTTAATAAGGTTATTTGTGAAGATGAAAGGCGTTTTGTAGTTAGACTTTGCAGACAAGTAAGTTTCTGATAAATATGGTTTGATAATTCGACATATTTATTTATTTTAATAAATTTCGTTGATATGCAGAGGCCACCTTTGTTGCAAAATGCAAAATTTCCACGTCCTTTAGTAGGTGTTATATTGGATGTCGTTATTGGGTTCATAAATCATAATTTGAGAAGAAAATTACAGACTGATTTATATAGGTAAGTGGGTAAACCACCTTTTGTAAAGCGTTAAACTTGAACTTTTAAAATTTTTTATATACAGTATGGCCTTAGGAGTCATCCATCGAATAATGTCATTTCTCAAAAAGAATTGCGTTAGATTGCGTAAGTACTTTATTTTTTAAAAAAAACATATATGTTATACATATTATACATATATATATGGTTCTTGTCAGTAATGTTGATTTAACATTCTATTTTTTCGGAATTTCACAGCGTATCATTGGTCAGAAATATGGCAATCACTTATTGGCTTATTGAAATTTATACTTTCAAATATTGAACATTTTCAACAAGATCGAGATTCAGTAAATGAAGTTTTGCTTTCTGCGATAAATATTATTAATCTAAGTGTTACATTTGGTGATGATTTCTTCCCAGATCCAATTAGCTATGATAATTTATTTTACGAAATTATAAGAGCAAAAGAAACGTTTGATGGTCTAAGTAGTATAGGTAATGATCTGTATAATTGTGTATATATATATCATTTATCCGATTTACAATTGTAATTAATTGACCGTCATTTCTTGGTATTAGTTAATAAGACGAATTTCACTAAGCCTGGGAGTCCGGCTAAATCTGCATTTCAAAAAACTGCGTCATCATCACAATTTGATGTTTTATCAAATATCAATACCATTTGTACACATTTCAGTTTAAAAATTGAAGGTTGGAAATTAGCCAATAGAGTGAAATCAATAACTCCTGAGCAGGTTGGTACAAATTTTATATCATTATTTTTAAATTTAAATTCACTTTTTATATGACCACTAATTATTATATATATTAAATGCGCATGACTTAAAGGTTTACTGTAAGTATATTAAATTCTATTCACATAATTACTGTATGGCAAAGGTATTTACTTATTTTATTTTGTGGGTTATAGCAATTATAAATGCGAATTATGACACTTTGAAACTTAATACGCCTGAAAAACTTGATCATTACACCCCTTATAATGAAATACCGTATCACGTTCCTTTATTGAGACAAGTATTAAGAGTGATCGTAGAGGATTTCAAAAGAAGGGAAGTTTTGATAGAATAATCATAATACTAAGAATTATGCGTTAAATATTTGGGGTATGACTTTTGTTATTTCCTTTCGGGTATAAAAAAGGGTTCAACTTTATTTAGCTTTATCACGTGATATTAATTAAAAGTTTGTTTAAGTGATGTCAGCAATGATGTCATTAATTATTAATATGACTCTGACTCTTAAAACTTTCAAAAATAAATACAAGTTACGTTTCTTCAAATACTGTAATTCATACAGTTTAATATCCGAATCAAGGATTGGCAATCAAGTTCAAAAATATTATTACTACATACCTCATTTATTCATAAATCGGAATCTTACTCCTAATGCGATTTTAGAATAGCGAATAGACTTCCTTTTTTGAATGCCCTTGTAGATGAAAAGTATACTAACCTTCCAAAGCCATAGTAGATTGTTAAATGTACAAGTGAAGTTTACTTACCACTTCCGAGCAAAAAAAAGTCGGGCCATGGAGATGTTCAAAATCTTCATCAAAAGCCTGTTAAAAACAAGTATAGTTTTTATATTAACGTGACCTATTTGAATTAAAATGCCATAATTATTTCTATAAGCTCAAAATTCAACTCTCAATACGAAAAAGGATAATTGACTGTTTCAACCTTTTCACCTGTTCACATCGACAATCTCATTAGGATAAATGGTTATATGAACAAATGGAAGATGATTTGATTTTCTAAAATTTTAATGGTCAGACCAGAGCAAAATATTCTAAATTAGAAGAATATGATTGATGATTTGGTAAATTATATGCTAAATAAATAAATATATTAAATAAATAATTTATGAAATTTATTAAGCTTTTTATTTTATTTTATTTTATTTGTATTATTTAAATTAAATTATATGGGACCCTTTGTAATAGAAAAAGTGGAAACTGTCAAAAAAAATAAAAAATAGTTAATGAACATAGTTCAGCTAAAAATCATCTTTTGCATATAAAAGTAAAATTGATTTTCCCATTTTTCCTTTTTCTATTGTCATATTATCTCTTAGAATATAAATAATTTACTTTTTTTAATTATAATAATAAATTTATTAAATTTAAACAAATCTTATTTAATTAAGATATAGGAGGTTTGCTAAGAAAATGGAGTTCTGTGCATTTTTTTATAAAATTTTAAATTTTTATTACATTTTAATCTAATATTATCAAAAATTAAAATTAAAATTTTTTAAAAAAAAATGCTCAGAGCCCCATTTTCCTAGCAAACTTTCCATATATTATATTTTACATGTTATTTTATAAATGTTAAAATTTTTTTACTTTTTTTATACTTATTAGACTTTATTCTACAGCTTATTATCTATATAAACTAAATTAATTTGATTAATCAAAAGAATAACTTTTATTTAAAATTTTATTTATTAATTTGCCTTTATATAATAAAAACAATTATTAATTAAAATTTTATTATATATTTTTGTTTAATAGAAAAATTCTTATTTATAAATTTAAAATATATATAATTTTTCAAAATATATCAAAATACTATATTATTATTTATTTATAAAATATATATTATTAAATAAAAAAAATAGGATTTTATAATATAAATAATATATTATATGATTTAAAATTTAAAATTTAAAATATATTACTAATTTAAAATTATTATTATATAGGAATTTATAAAAAGGTAAAAATCTAAAAAAATTTATTTTATAAGTTAATATTAAATCTGAATTTATTTTACTAAAAAAAAAATATATTTAGCATATGAAGTAAAATTTTTTTTTTTTTTAGATTTTCTCCCTTTTTATTAATAAGTTCACATATTAAAAAAGTAAAATTTATTTGATGTATTTATTCACTATATTCATCTAGACTAGAGTCTAAACAAGTCAGTTTAGATCATAAATCTGACTTGAATAAGAGGTCAAACAAATTGATCGAATCTAAATAATAAGTCAAATGGGTTGACTCAACTGATCTGTGATTTATGCATTATTCTAAGAAATGATAATGCATTATTTCTTAAAAATCTTCAAAATAAGAAAAAAAATACAGAAAAAAGAAAGAAAAAGGGTTTAAAAAAGGAAATTTTTTTTTCAGATTAATCTGAAAGTTTTTTTAGCCAATTGGATGATTTTTGTATTATCCAATTGAAATATCGTTTCTATTGAATAATTCGTATTGTCCCTTAGGGGACGATGATGTTGATTTGAACGATAATGTATCGTCCCAAAAGGACGATAGTTTGATCGTTCAAATCGAATGATCATTATTCCAAAAGGAACGATATTGAATCGTTCTTATAGAATGATGTTGAATCGTTCTTAATGAACGATAATCATTCTAAAAGGCACGATGTTGAATCATTCTTAATGCCTTATAAATAATATGTATAAGGAAAGTATACAGAAATAATACATTTAAAAAACGTATAATAAACGTAGAAAAACAGTATAATAAATTCGTAAATATTTCTGTATACTAGATACTGAAAATCGTCTTTTTCCGTATGCAAAA